AGTAATTGTAATAGTAATAGTAATAGTGATAGTGATAGGAATAGTAATAGTAATAGCAATAGTAATAGTAATAGTAATAGTAATAGTAATAGTAATAGTAATAGTAATAGTAATAGTAAGAGTACTAGTACTAGTACTAGTACTAGTAATAGTAATAGTAATAGTAATAGTAATAGTAATAGTAATAGTAATAGTAATAGTAATAGTAATAGTACTGAGTAATAGTAATAGTAATAGTATAGGATTTGTATAGTATAGGATAGTAATAGTAATAGTAATTAGTAATAGTAATTAGTAATAGTAATAGTAATAGTAAATAGAATAGTAATAGTAATAGTAATAGTAATAGTAATGCAATAGTAATAGTAATAGTAATAGTAATAGTAATTGTAATCGTAATAGTAATGAGTTAATAGTAATAGTAATAGTAATAGTAATAGTAATAGTAAATTAGTAATAGTAATAGTAATAGTAATAGTAATAATAGTCGTAATAGGAGTAGTATATATAGTAATAGAATAATAAGAGTAAGAGTAAGAGTAAGAGTAAGATAAGAATAGTAATAGTAATAGTAATAGTAATAGTAATAGTAATAGTAATAGTAATAGTAATAGTAATAGTAATAGTAATAGTAATAGTAATAGTAATAGTAATAGTAATAGTAATAGTAATAGTAATAGTAATAGTAATAGTAATAGTAATAGTAATAGTAATAGTAATAGTAATAGTAATAGTAATAGTAATAGTAATAGTAATATCAATAGTAATAGTAATAGTAATAGTAGTAGTAACAGTAATAGTATTAGTATTAGCAATAGTAGGAGTAGTAGTAATAGTAGGAGTAATAGTAATAGTAATAGTAATAGTAATGGTAATAGTAATAGTGATAGTTATAGAAATAGTAATAGTAATAGTAATAGTAATGGTAGTAGTAATAGTAATAGTAATAGTGATAGTAATAGTCGTAGTAATAGTAATAACAATTGTAACAGCAATAGTAACAGTGGTAGTAATAGTAATAGTAATAGTAATAGTAATAGTAATAGTAATAGTAATAGTACAAGTAATAGTAATAGTAATAGTCATAGTACTAGTCATAGTAATAGTAAGAGTAATAATAATAGTGACAGACATAATAATAGTATAATAGCAATACTTATAGTAGTAGTAATAGTAATAGTCATAGTAATAGTAATAGTACTAGTTAAAATAATGATAATCATAGTACTAGTACTAGTACTAGTACTAGTACTAGTACTAGTAATAGTACTAGTACTAGGAATAGGAATAGTAGTATCAATAGTAATAGTAATAGTAATAGTAATAGTAATAGTAATAATAACAGTCATAAAAAATAGTAATAATAATAGTAATCGTAATAGTAATAGCAATAGTAAAAGTAATAGTAATAGTAATAGTAATAGTAGTAGTAATAGTAATAGTAATAGTAATAGTGATAGTAATAGTAATGGTAATGGAAATAGTAATAGTTAATAGTAATAGTAACAGTAATAGTAGTAGTAATAGTAATAGTAATAGTAATAGTAATAGTAATAGTAATAGTAATAGTAATAGTAATAGTAATAGTAATAGAAATAGTAAAAGTAATAGTAATAGTATTAGTAATAGTAATAGTAATAGTAATAGTAATAGTAATAGTAATAGTAATAGTAATAGTAATAGTAATAGTAATAGTAATAGTCATAGTCATAGTAATAGTAATAGTAATAGTAATAGTAATAGTAATAGTAATAGTAATAGTAATAGTACTAGTACTAGTAATAATAATAGTAATAGTAAGAGTAGTAGTAGTAGTAGTAGTCGTCGTCGTCGTCGTCGTCGTCGTCGTCGTCGTCGTCGCCGTCGTCGTAGTCGTCGTAGTCGTCGTCGTAGTAGTAGTAGTATTGGTAGTAGAAGTAGTAGAAGGAGCAGTAGTAGTAGTAGTAGTAGTAGTGGTAGTAATAGTAGAAGTAGAAGCACTCGCAGCAGTAGTAGTAGTAGAAGAAGCAGTAGTAGTAGTAGTAGTAGTAGCTGTTGTTGGAGTAGTAGTAGTAGTAGTAGCAGTAGTAGCAGTAGTAGCAGTAGTAGTAGTAGTAGTCGTCGTCGTCGTCGTCATCGTCGTCGTCGTAGTCGTCGTAGTCGTCGTAGTCGTAGTGGTAATAGTAGTAGTAGTAGTGGTAGTAGTAGTAGTAGTAGCAGCAGTAGTAGTAGTAGTAGTAGTAGTAGAAGTAGTAGTGTAGTGGTAGTAGTAGTAGTAGTAGTAGTTGTAGTAGTAGTAGTAGGAGTAGTGGTAGGAGTAGTAGTAGTAATAGTAATAGTAGTAGTAGTAGTAGTAGTTATAGTAGTAGTAGTAGTAGTAGTCGTCGTCGTCGTCGTCGTCGTCGTCGTCGTCGTCGTCGTCGTCGTCGTCGTCGTCGTCGTCGTCGTCGTCGTCGTTTCGTCGTCGTCGTCGTCGTCGTCGTCGTCGTCGTCGTCGTCGAAGTCGTCGTCGTCGTCGTCGTCGTCGTCGTCGTCGTCGTCGTCGTCGTCGTCGTCGTCGTCGTAGTAGTAGTAGTAGTAGTAGTAGTAGTAGTAATCGTCGTCGTAGTAGTAGTAATATTGTCCTTTTTCGTATTATGACTCTTCTTATTATGTTTATTCTTCCGAATACTGAATGTATTGCTAATGTTGTCGTGGCGATTATTATGATTATAATTATTATTATTATTACTCGTCGTCGTCGGGGGGAGGCTAGGCGGCCCTGACGCTTGGCCTTCGCACTCCCCGAGAGCCCTACTCCGAACCGCACCACAGCAGGCCGCGCGGCGGGCACAAAACGCCCCAGAACCGAGAGGAGGAGTAGGCTCCAGTCGGAGGAGGAGGAGGAGAAGGAGGCGCTAGGAGGAGCAGGAGGAGGAGCAGGAGGAGTCGCTAGGAGGAGCAGGAGGAGGCGCTAGGAGGAGCAGGAGGAGGAGGAGGAGGAGGAGGAGGGGGAGACGGGCCCCAGGAACGCCCCAAGACAAGGACCGCCCAGAGCAGCACCCCCGGGCGCCCCCGGCGGGGACTTGGAACGGGCTTGGTTCGGCGGCCGTCCTCTGGGAGAGCCAGCAGGGGTCCGTGCAGGACTCCCTCGTGAGCTTAGCCAACGTGTTGACACGGAGCTCAACACGCAGGCTGAAAACGTAGGTCTCGCGCGATATTTTCGCCAAGACGTGGGCCAACACGTTGAGCCAACACGCAGCGTGTTAACACCCGGACGTTTTAAGCACGCCACGTGTTGCGTATCAAAACACCGCTCACCCTCCGGGACTTCGCCTCCGGCTCCTGTCCAAGGTGTACCTTTTGCTGTGCGAGCTCTTCAGCACCGCCTGTACCCCGCGCCCTCCGGCCGCCTGAGGCCCCGCCCGCCCGCGCCCTGTCTCCCCAATTAGTGCTTTGCGCGGCCCGCCTAGCTCTTAACCGGAAGAGGCACGCTCTCGACCCGCAGACCACAAGTGTTGCGTATCAAAACGGACGTATCGAGACAGCTAAGGCCATCAGGGACCGTGCAAGAACCCCTCGTGAGACGTCTACGTTGGACTGTCCACATAATGCGACACGGCGCTACAGGTCGATTCCTGCTATTCCGGTGCGTCATTCCTCTCCGTGTCCTCTCAGGTGGGGTGTGTCTGCTCTGGCTCGCGCAGGCCGTTGGCCTCCGATCCTAGAGGCGAACGGCCTACGAACGTTGTGCTCTGCGGACCACGCGGAGCGATTGCATGGTGCCCCGCCCACTTGCGAGCCAGGGCGAGCGTGTGCTGAGAGCATACAATCGGACATAGGCTCAAACATAGGCCAGAAGAACATCCTTCAAGAACATGGCACCCTCCGTCGGCCAAAACAAACATAACATCCAATGGTACCCTCCCCAGGATGCACAAGGACGTCCAACAAGCACGAAGAACATTAGGGCACCCTCCCCGAATCGACCTCGATCTTATACCTCGGTCCGGCTGTATGAGATTCATTGTCGAGACCCTGCGGTCCAAAGTCTAAGCCCCCCCCTAAATTCCCATCCAGAAGCCACTCCTCGCATTCCGCCGAACTTCCCCAAAGCGGTGTATTTGGTTTGGGGGCCCACCCGAGAGGACTCCGAAACGACCTCAGAAGGCGTGCAACTTGATATAAGGGCGTCCAGATCGGCCAACAGGAGCTCCAAGATGGCCCCTGGCAACTTCAACTGGGCCAAGATAGCCATCAAAGTGCCTCAAGCGGCGCCAGGATGGCCCCGCGGAGTGCCCTGGAGAGGGGATTTGCCTTCTCCACTGTTCGGCGCAAGATGTCTCCACGATGGGTCCCAGCGGCCCGCAAGAGGATCCCGCAGGTCCGCAGAAGCCCCCAAGACAGCCCGAGAAATCCCCCGGACGGCGCCAATATGGCCCCAGAATCCCCCAAGAGGCGTCCAAGATGATCTGCCAAGCCGAAAAAAAAACGCAGTGGTTTCGCGATGGTCGACCATCTGTGGCCAGGCGGCCGTCTTGAATATGTTGGAGCTGGCTTAGGCCATCTTTGCGCAGTGCTGGGGCAGCCTTTTGGGCCTTCGGGAGCCGTTTGAGTATCGTCCCGGAGCAATTTAGAAACACGGGTTGTTTTCGGCCTCCCGCTGTGCCGTCTTGGGCTCTTTTAAGGGGCCGTGCTGGGCCTCTCTTTGGGTTCTCTTGGGCCTTCCACGGAATACAGCCGAAATTATGATCATGGAAGATATCCTTTAAGATATCTGGGCCAATTTCCTCGAAAGTGTCTTAAAACAAGCCTGGTGCAATGTCTGTTGTTGACGCTGGAGGGGCGAACGTGCTCAAGGAGCTGGGCCACCTTTCTGGCGGGTTGGTCGAGAAAGGCTGGCCCAGCATTTCGGGAGAAGGTTCCTGAATCAGACTCTCGACTGTAAGCCGTGGGCGAGCGGTGAACGCGAAGCGTCTTTGGTCGGCCGCTTGCAAAAACTATGTCCGGAAAGCCAGGCCGGCGCCCCGCGGCCGCGCTCCTCAGTAGAGCCACGGGAACGGGTTGTGCGTGAGGACCGCCTAGGGAGCCATTTGAAAAAAACAGTGACTGGCTGCCGGTGCCACTCCCTGGAGCTGGAGGTCCGAGATGTCTGTCCTCCTCCCGTCCTCATCCTCGTCCTCGTCCTCGTCCTCGTCGCCGTCCTCTTCGTCGTCTTCGTCCTCTTCGTCGTCCTCGTCCTCGTCTCCACATGTTCCTCCCAATGGTGGAACCATGCCCCACTTGACACCCCGAGACAGCTCAAACCGACTCGACCACTCGCGCAAAATGAATTCGAGAATGCTCCGCTACCTCCTGCCCAAGCTTGCGCACAGAGCCCCGCCCGGGCCTTCTGGGAAACAGGAGCTAGAGCAGCAGGGCACAGCGGGAGCAGGGTGCCCACCAGTCGCGGTTGCGGGGGGGGGGGGCCGCTAGCGACCGCAGAAGAGCACGGACTGGCACCCCTTGCAGCGCACCCAGAGAGACGGGAAAGGGGGAGGGGAAGGGAGGAAGAGGAGGAGGAGAAGGAGGAGGAGGAGGAGGAGGAGTAGGAGGAGGAGGGGGAGGAGGACGAGGAGGAGGGGGGGAAAAGGAAGAGGAGGAGGAGGAGGAGGAGGAGGAGGAGGAGGAGGAGGAGGAGGAGGAGGGGTGTCACGGCGGGGGAGGGGCACCAACTCCAGGCGGGCACGACGGGATGCACCGCGCTGGGCCGCCCCCTTCCCCCCTCCCCGTGGGGAGGGGACCCCCAGGGAGCGTCTCCGTGGAGGGCCGCACCTGACCTCTGTCAGGAGCCCCGCGGCGGGACCATGCTCGGGAATCACTGGACGGACTGTTGACGGCTCGCTTTACACACACACACACACACACACACACACACGCACATACACACACACACACACACACACGAACACACACACACACACACACACACACACACACACACACACACTTTTTTGGTCGGCGGGCCTCTTCCGGTTAAGAGCTAGGCGGGGCGCGCGAAGCACTAATTGGGGAGACAGGGCGCGGGCGGGCGGGGCCTCAGGCGGCCGGAGGGTGCGGAGTACCCTCTTTACACACACACACACACACACACACACACACTACAGCCGAAAATCTCATCCACAAAACTATCATGCTGGACATCTGGGCCCTGGGCCAGCCTCCCGGAAATCCCTCGATACAGACCTGAGCCCATCTGCCGTTCACGCTGGAGGGGCGGACGTGATCAAGAAGCTGGGCCACCCTTCTGGCAAGTTGGTTGAGAGACGGTGGCCCAGCTTTTCGGGAGAAGGTTTCTGAATCAAGTGCTCGACTTCGTTTTGGCAAGAGGCTGGTGCCAAGATGGTGGCGAATGCGGCTGGGCAGATTTGGCCAGTCCAGCTGGTTGGGCATGCTGGGCCGGCGGGCGGGCGTTGAGGGTCTCCAAGGCCGCGCGAATCCCACCAGCGCTTTAGGCGTCATTGGTGTAAGGAGTTGCAGCCGAAAGTGCGATTCGGAACATTATGGAGTCGGAAACCTGGGCCAGCTTCCCAGAAGTTTCTTAAAACAAGCCTGGGCCAACTGTTTTGGTTACAGTCGAGGCGCTGACCTAAGGAACCCTAAATAAGGAACGAGGCCCCTATTTTCCATAAGTTGAACTTCGATTTCGTATCGAAAACCTAAGGAAAACCTGAGGCAAGCTGCGAAACACTGAAGGAACACGGAGCCCCTCCCCAACGAAAAGGGTTCCTTCTTCAGGGCCCCGACTGTAATGCTGCAAGGACCAGGGTGTTCAAGGAGCTGAGCCACCATTCCGGCAAGTCGGTCAAGAAACGCTGGCCCTGATTTTCGGGAGAAGGTTGTTTGGTCGGATGCTCGACTGTAGTTATTCGAACCTCCTCTCTCCCCTCGGGAAAATGCTGACATCACCCCCTACCCCCCCTCCCTGATCCCAACATCCTTCCGAGCACAAGGACAAGGAATGTCTGTGTGCTTCTCGCCACTTCGCTTTCGATGGGCTCTTGGGACACTAAGAACTTATATTTGTTCGATCCGCAAAATGGCCCCATGAGATCCATCAAGGCCCCAAAGAGGACCCCAAGAGAGCCCATGAGGGCTCCAAGAGAGCCCCAAAAGCCTCCAGGATGGCCTCATGAAGGCCCCACGATGGCCCCCAGTTGCCCCTAGGAGTCCCACAGAGCGTGACTGCATGCTGCTGCCCTGATCAGGGCAATTCACCTGGTGATTGTTTTTGGATGGACTGGTGGGGATGCGCGAAGCGTCAAGAACATGAACTGGACTGGCTCGACTGCCTGGCCTGGTTGGGGTGAGCTGTCCAGGGTGGCTGAAGGGCACCAGAAGATGTCCGAAGCTGAAGACGGTTCCCATCGTCGCAACTATAAGCAGAAAGACCTTGCAACATTGAGGCGCTGCCTGGCTGGGCTGGGCCTGTTGTGCTGGCTGGGCTTGCTGGGCTGAATGGGCCGGCTGGACTGGCAAGGCTGCCAGGTTTGCCAGGCAAGCCAGCTGGGCTGGTCAGGCTGCCAGCTGAGTGGGCAGGGCAGGCTGGTCAGCTGGGCTGGCTTGGCCAGATGTGCTTCAAAGGCTGGCTGGGCTGGACGGGCGGACTGGATTGGCCAAGCTCACTGGCTGGAAAATGTTTCTCTCGCCTTAGCGCGGCGCACAGTCTCCGGCGCACATTCGTTTTAAGCAGTTGCAAGATGTTCACGGATTGAGGGCGGCTCCTTTTCAAAATGTGGCTCTCGCCTCAGCGCGGCGCAAAGTTGTTTTTTCTAATCGCAAGAGTTTCACTGGTTTCCCACATCAACGTGTCAGAAATTGTGTTTAGAAAGGATTCAGGATGATGCGGGTGCAACAGTTATGTTGATTCGCTGCGTTCAAATCCCAGGAATGACGTTCTGGCACGATTCAGGACTGTCAAGACGCAAAAATCAGGGTGATGCGTGGCGTTGGAATCCCGAGAACAATGTTTTGGCATGGTTCAGGGTCTTCAAACCGTTGTCTTCCAAAGAGGCAGTCCCTTCAATGGAAATGAACCGTTGTAGGGGCCTATGAAGAGGGAGCTTGGAGGGAGGGTTTATTCCAACATCGTTGATAACTCTTGGGTTTACACTGGTCCTCATCCTCATCCTATTCCTCCGCCCCCTCCCCCGCTTCCTCCTCCTCCTCCTGCTCCTCCTCCTCCTCCTCCTCCTCCTCCTCCTCCTCCTCCTCCTCCTCCTCCCCCTCCTGCCTAGAACTCTTCCCATGCAGTAACCACACGTTTCGCTGGTGTCGCTCGGGCCAGACCGCCTGGCAACTGACCGGACTGACAGGACGGACGGGGCTCACTGGGCCAGCTGCGCGCGCGCAGGGCTGGGAAGGCCAGCTGGGACGCACTGGCTGGACAGACTGACCCGCTGGCTGGGGCCTCTGGGCTCGCCAGGGTGGCCGATTCTTCGAGAAGGCTCCCACGAGGACCTCCTCTTGATCATTACGCCTCTTCCTTCCGTATCCCTTCCACGTCGTTTCTCCTCGTGGTTATCCCCATTCTCCTTTCCCCCAAGCTCGTCAAAGAAACGGACAAAACGGCTGGACAGGCCAGGCCAGCCAGGCGGACGGGCCGAGCCGGACAGGCCAGGCTGGCTGGCGAGAAGAAACTCTGGCAACACGGAGGCCGCCAGGAGCTGGAGAGACGCATGCTGCTGGCCACGTTCTGGCAGAGGAGGGCCCTGGACCGCGAGAGGGCTGTACCCCGCGGCTCAGAGGAGTATACCCAAAGGGAAAGAATCTAGGAGTGCAGCAGCCGCAGGGAACGAGAAGGCCGCATCCCGCGATCCAGAGTCGTCTCGGAAGGGAACGTACTATGGCGGCACGAGGACCACCAGGAGCGAGAGAGTCGCATGTCCTGGTTCTTGGAATTTCGCTCCCAGGTGGTGGCGCTCTGGCATCACGAAGGTCTGCCATCCTGAATCGCCCAGGACAGGACTCCGTCAAGGGCGAAGGCCGCGCTCCGCCCGAAGACTTGCGTCCTGCGACTCGCAGTCGTGCCTGGGAGCAGAGCTCTGGTGAGCTGGCAATGCGAAGGCCACCGACCACGAGGGGGCGGCACCCTGTGAGCCAGAGCCGCCACCAGGAGCGGAGCTCGGGCAGCAAGGATGCCCCCGCGAGCGGGAAGGTTCCGTCGTCCTAGCCCTCGTCCCTCCTTCTCTTCCTCATGTTCCTCGTATTCCTCATATTCCTCCTCCTCCTCCTCCTTCTCCTCCTCCTCCTCCTCCTCCTCCTCCTCCTCCTCCTTCGACTCACACTCACACTCAGCAGACATCCAGCAGACATCCAGCAGTTCAACCAACATAGAGTCCAAAGCTGTTCGCCATTTTAGGCCTTGGGAGGCCCGCTTCGGGTAAACGAAGCGGGCTTCCCAAGGTCCACGATGGCAACGAAAAAACTGCGAACAAACTGCCAGGTCGGAGGGGAGGGAGGGCCAGCGGGAGTCGGTTGATGGCGACTCCACTGGCGGACGCTGGCGGAAGTCAATCTGCGCCCGCAGGAGATGTCAACATTTTTTGGACTCGGGGCAAGGAGGTCCAAGGGCCCATGCCTCGAATGGGGGGGCACGCCAGCCCACGGCGACGAGCGAGGCCGCACACTCCATAAATGACCACTGCCGCTATCGCTGACGCAGCCGATCAGCCCCACGGCAGCCCCACCCGCATCAGCTGAGAGCGGGTTGAAAGGGACGGCAAGGTGCGAGCCTCGCAGAGCGGGTGGTGTCGCAAGAAGTGCCAGGATCGTACCGACGCTGGCGGGCGGGACATCCGAGCGATCATGTGGGCCAGGGGAACGACAATGACCAGAAGTGAAGGAGTCGAAGACAATCGCGGGGGGTCCCCCGCGACTGCCTTAGAGGAGGAGGAGGAGGAGGAGGAGGAGGAGGAGGAGGAGGAGGAGGAGGAGGAGGAGGAGGAGGAGGAGGAGGAGGAGGGGGAGGGGAGGGGGAGGGGGAGGGGGAGGGGGAGGGGGGAGGGGTGGGAGGGGAATGGAGGGAGGGAGGGAGGGAGGGAGAGAAGAGGAGGAAGAGGAGGAGGAGGAGGAGGAGAAGGCGGAGGAGGAGGAGAGGAGCAGGAGGAGGAGGAGAGGAGGAAGCGGCGGAGGAGGAGGAGGAGGGAGGAGGAGGAGGAGGAGGAGGAGGAGGGGGAGGGGGAGGAGGAAGAGGGAAGGAGGAGGAGGAGGAGGAGGAGGAGGGGTAGGAGGAGGAGGAGGAGGAGGAAAAGGGGGAGGGAGGAGGAGGAGGAAGAGGAGGAAGAGGAGGAGGAGGAGGAAGAGGACGAGGAGGAGGAGGAGGAGGAAAAGAAGGAGGAGGAGAAGAGAAGAGGATTCGGAGAAAAGCTGGCAAGGATGGGAAGCACTCCGGCGGCTCTTCTGCCCCCCCATGGGCACGCCGCCCCCTGCCCACACGCCCCCTCTCCAGCGAGGCGGGTCACTCCAGGTCGATCGCGTCTCTCGCCTGCGCAGCACGCGCCGAGAAGGCGAACGCTGCCTGCGGGGCCGCCTCCGGAGCCGCGCGCTTCACGCCCCGGCCGCGGCCCTTGGCGGGCCGCGGGGCCCCGGCCGCGCCCGGGGCGGGCGGGGCAGCGGGCGCCTCCCGCGCCGCGGGGGCCCGGGCCCTGGCCCTCGGGGCCTCCGCCCCCTGGCTGAAGGTCACGGCGTCCTCGGGCGCCTCGAGGATGTTCTGCGAGACGAAGGCGTCGATCCTGTCCTCCAGCCACCTCGCGGTGGCGCCAAGGGGGCCAGGGGAAGGCTTCACGGGAGGAGGCTGCTTCTCAGAGGGCGCCGGCCCCGCGTCGAGAATCGAGGCCCGAACGCCCCTCTGGGGAGACCAAGGTACCGATACCGCTACTCCCCGGGCCTCTCCTGGGGTGCATTCTGGCCAGAATTCCGAGGCGAATCCAGCGGTGGCGACAGGCCTCGAGAAGGGGTTCGCGGGGCGAGGGCAGCGGTAGGGGCACCTCCTCCCCCTACCCACCCCCTTGGCGCGTGGCCGAGCCTCTCCAGCGCCGCGCCGCCCTGGCACAGCAGGTGGCACTCGTCGAGGTCGTGGAAGGCCGCGCCCTCCGGCGGCCGGCTGCTGCTGGCGCCCCGCCCTGCCGCGGCGTGCCGCAGGTAGGCCACGGCCGCCCAGTCGCCCGACAGCAGGAAGCCCTCGCGCTCGCGGGGCATGGGCCCGCGCGCTGCGGGGGGGGGAGGCGGCGGGGGGCGCTCGGCCGCGCCCTCGGGCCGGGAGCGGCTACGGACGGGAGGCTTGGGCGCGAATGCGCCACTCATGTATATATAGATATATATAGAGAGAGATATATAGATATATAGATATATATATATATAGAGAGAGGGGGGAAAATATGCACGGACACCCTCCGACAAACTTCGCATGAACCTTCAGGGGGGGGGGCGGCGGTGTGGAAAGCCGCGGGCTCCCAGCGGTGCTCTGTACACCGCCACCTTTCCCTGAGGCCCAGGAGCCCACCCATTGGAGGGCGTCCGTGTCTTCGTTCTCGTGGCGGAGCGAAGGCCTCCGGTGGCGGGCTCCGTCCAGAGCCGGGCCACAGCGCGGGCCTCCGGCGCTGCACCCCTGGAAGCGCAGCGTCCTCGGCCCCAGGCCCGAGCGGGGCGGCGAAGAGGGGACTGAAGGGAGGGGGAGGCCGATGGGAGGGGGGAGCACAGGAGGAACCAGACCCACACGGAGGGCAGGGAGGGAGGGCGCATGGCGAGGAGGCGGTTCCCAAGGGAGAGAGAGTCCCAGTCTGGGCGGCGGACAGTCCAGCACGGGACTGTGACAGCGTACCCCATCTACGAAGATACGCCTCTGAAGCGGGGGATCCCCGAGGACGGCTCGCAAGCCCCTCCTCCTGCCCGAGGCCTCACTCCGCCGAGATGCTGCAAGAGGTCGTGGCCACTCGGCCCGAAAGCCATGCCCCCGAAACAGTACTTGAGCCCGCGGATCTCCAATCGAACCACACAGAAAGGACACGGCGGCCTCCCTCGGTGGCTCACGAGAGCCGCTGGCTCGGCGCGCCGCGCGGAGGAGCGGGGCGCCCACGCGCGGCTCTACGCGGGCAGCTCACTCTCGCGATTGCCCGCGCAGTGCAACCACGAGGCTGCGTCGCCCGTCTGGCCCGTGCGCTCCTCACCCCCGGCGAGGACAGAGCCTCCCCGAGGAGGGGCCCTCGGAGCCTTCTGGCCGCCGCCGCTGATCCCGCCGCCTGGCGCACTCCCGACCTTTACCCCGGAATCGACGGCGACACATTTCGGACCCCAGGGTCGCCTGGGCCACGGAAGGCTGCGACACTCGCGCGCGCGCGCGCGTGCCGCGCAGCGCACGCGGGAAAGGCAGCTGGAAGGCCAAGCTCTCGAGGATGGAAGAAAGCTCAAGGGTCTGCTCCTCCTCGTCCTCCTCCACCTCCTCCTCCTCTTCCTCCTCCTCATCCTCCTTCTCCCTCCCTCCCTCCCTCCCTCCCTCCCTCCCCCAACCCCTCCCTCCTTCCCTCCCTCCCTCCCCCCGTTCTTCCCCTCCTTATCCGCTTCCCTCTCCTCCTCCTGCTCCTGCTCCTGCTCCTGCTCCTCCTACTCCTCTTCCTCCTCTTCCTCCTCCTCCTCCTCCTCATCATCATCATCATCATCATCATCATCATCATCATCAGCAGCAGCAGCAGCATCATCAGCCTCAGCAGGAGCATCATCATCATCATCATCATCATCATCATCATCATCATCATCATCATCATCATCATCATCATCATCATCATCGTCGTCGTCGTCGTCATCATCATCATCATCATCAGCAGCCTCAGCATCAGCATCATCTCATAATTATCATCATCATCATCATCATCATCATCATCATCATCATCAGCAGCAGCAGCAGCAGCATCAGCATCATCAGCATCATCATCAGCATCAGCATCATCATCATCAGCATCATCAGCAGCAGCAGCTGCATCAAAATCATTATCAGCAGCAGCATCATCATCATCATCAGCAGCAGCAGCATCATCAGCAACATCCTCATCCTCATCCTCATCCTCATCCTCATCCTCATCATCATCATCATCATCATCATCATCATCATCATCATCATCATCATCATCATCATCATCATCATCATCATCCGCATCATCCCCATAGCATCAGCATCATCAGCATCAGCAGCATCATCAGCAGCAGCAGCATCATCATCATGGTCATCATCATCAGCAGCAGCATCATCAGCATCATCGTCAGTATTATTCCCCAATCAGAGCTTGCCTCGGTAGGGGTCCTAGCGGATTTAAGGGTAGGTGAGGTGTGCCGCCGATTCGGTGGCCGGGCCCGGGTGCCTGGGTGCCCGGGTGCGTGCCCGGGTGCCCGGGTTCCCGGGTTCGCCGCCGATTCGGTGGCCGGGCCCAGGTACCCGGGTGCCCGGGTGACGGGTGCCCGGGTTCGCCGCCGATTCGGTGGCCCGGCCCGGGTGCCCGGATGCCAGGGTGCCCGGGTGACGGGTGCCCGGTGCCCAGGTGGGTGCCCGGGTGCCTGGTGCCCGGGTGCCTGGTTCCCTGTAGCCCTATAGGCTTATAGCCCTATATCCCTATCGCCCTATAGCCCTATAGCCCTATAGCCCTATAGCCCTATAATAGCCTTATAGCCCTATAGCCCTATAGCCCAATAGCCCTATAGCCCTATAGCCCCAAACTAATTATGATTGGGGCTTTTCTCTAGTATCATCATCATCATCATCATCATCATCATCATCATCATCATCATCATCATCATCATCATCAGCATCAGCATCAGCATCAGCATCATCATCATCATCATCATCATCATCATCATCATCATCATCAACATCATCATAATCATCATCATCATCATCATCATCATCATCATCATCATCATCATCATCATCATCATCATCATCATTATTATCATCTCATCATCATCATCATCAGCAGCAGCAGCATCATCAATATCATCATCATCATCATCATCATCATCATCATCATCATCAGCATCATCATCAACGTCGTCGTCATCGTCGCCGTCGCCGTCACCGTCGTCGTCGTCATCATCACAAGCATCATCAGCATCATCAGCATCATAGTCATCCATCAGCATCGTCATCAGCTTCATCATCATAATCAGCATGATAAACATCATCATCATCATCATCATCATCATCATCATCATCATCATCATCATCATCCGCATCATCATCATCATCAGCAGCAGCAGCAGCATCCTCATCATGATCATCATCATCATCAGCATCATCATCAGCATCATCACCATCATCATCATCATCACCATCATCATCATTACCATCATCACCAGCAGCAGCATCAGCATCAGCATCAGCATAAGCATCATCATGATCATCAAAACCAGTATCATCATCATCAGCAGCATCATCATCATCAACAACATCATCATGATCATCATCGGCAGCAGCATCATCATCAGTATCATCATCATCATCATCATAATCATCATCATCATCATCATCATCATCATCATCATCATCATCATCCTTGAACCTTAAGAATCCTTGAGCCTTGACTCGGCTCTGCTCCTGCTGCGTGAGGCCGTGCAGAAGCTGCCCGCATCCCGGACATCCGACATTGTGATTTGTGCACCGCGAGGACCCCCAAAGGTCCGGACCCCTTCTCCAGGACCCGCTCCTCATCCTGAGTGGCTTCTTCTTCACGGTCCCGGGGCCCGGCAGGGGCCCCCAGAAACCGGAAATCGCCGAGAGCCACCAGAAGTGATTGCTTTTCCGCGGCGCAAGTCCCAGGGATCGGCCTGTGCTGCCCAGGCCCAGCAGTCTTACCGCGGGCCCGTGGCCCGTGGGGTTCCGTTCTCGCGCGGGCCAGGCCGACGACCGCAGGGTCCGGCGCACAGGGTCCTTTTATCCTCTTGTCCCTCCTTTCCCTCTCTCCCTCCCACTGCACTCCCCATCCCCCACCCCTCCTCTACATCCTCTTCCTCCTCCCTCCCCTCCTTCTCCCCTCCCTACCTTCCCTCTTTGCTCCCTCCCCCACCCCTCCTGCACGTCCCCCTCCTCCTTATCCTCCTCCTCCTCCTCGACTCCTCCGCCTCCTCCTGCTCCTCCTCCTCCCCTCCTCCTCCTCCTCCTCCTCCTCCTCCTCCTCCTCCTCCTCCTCCTCCCCCTCCTCCTCCTCCTCCTGCTCCTCCTGCTCCTCCTCCTCATCCTCCATTCCTTGTCCTTATAAATAACTCCTCCCTGTCGCACCCCGAGGCCGGTCGAAAGGGCGGGCCGGGCTTGTCAGCTGAGACTCCCTTACCACTTATGACCCTGACGCATGGAAATTGGCAACAGCTTCGTAGATGGAGGGCGGGTGGTTTTCAAAATGTGGCACTCGCCTCAGCGACGCGCACACTCGTTCAATAAATTGGCAAGAGTTTCACGGAGTGAGGGCGGGTCGTTTTCAGAATGTGGGTCTCTTCTTAGCGCCGCGAACATTCGTTCTAAAAACTCGCAAGAGCCTTACGAATTGAGGGCGCGTCTTTCAAAAATGTGCCTCTCGCCTAAGCGACTCGCACATTTGTCTTGCAAATTGTGCAAGAGCCTCACGGATTGAGGGCGGGTCGTTTTCAAAATGCAGCTCTCGCCCTATCGCCGCGCACATTCGTTTCAAACATTGCAAAAGTTTCATGCCTTGAGGGCGATTCCTTTTAACATGTGGCTCTCGCCTTAGCGCCGCGCACATTCGTTTCAAACATTTGCAAGAGTTTCACAGGCTTCCATGGTCAATGTACCAAAAATTGTGTCTTTGAAACAACCAGGACTGTGAAGGCGCGACGATTTCTTTGATCCGCGGTGTTGAAGCGCCAGGAACGGCATTCGGGCACGATTCTGAACCGTCAATCCGCAACAGTCAGGTTGATTCGTGGCGCTGGAGTCCCGAGAATGCTGTTTTTGGCAAGCTTCAGGGTCTTCAAACGGTTGTCTCCCAACGAGGCAGTTCCTTCACTGGAAAGGACCTGGCGCAGGAGCCTATGAAGTGGGAGATTGAAGGGAGGGTTTCTTACAACATCGTTCGCGAGAATTGGGTTCACACTGCTCCTCCTCCTCCTCCTCCTCCAACTCGTCCTCCTCCTCCTCCTCTCATCCTCCTCTCCTCCTCATCCTCCTCCTCCTCGCTCCTCCTCTCACCTCCTCCTCTCCCCTTCCTCCTCTCCCTCCTCCTCCTCCTCATCCTCCTCCTCCTTCCTCCTCCTGCTCCTCCTCCTCCTCCTCCTCGTTCCCTCTTCTCCTCCTCCTCCTCCTCCTCCTCCTCCTCCTCCTCCTCCTCCTGCTCCTCCTCCTCCTCCTCCCCCTCCTGCTCCTCCTCCTCCTCGTACTCCTCCTTCTTCCCCTCATGCCCATCATCCTTAACTATCGTCGTCATCATTATCAACAACCACCTCAGTTTCTTCACCATCATCAGAACGATCATCATCAGCATCATCATCGTCATCACCATCATCATCATCATCATCATCATCATCATCATCATCATCATCATCATCAGAATCGTCGTCATCGTCATCGTCATCGTCATCATCATCGTCGTCGTAATCGTCACTGGCATCGTCATTATCAGCAACACCAACAACAACATCATCGTCATCATCGTCCTCGTCGTAGTCATCGTCGTCATCGTCAGCGTCCTCAGCATCATCACTATCAGCACTAACAGGATCACCATCACCATCAGCATGGCCATCATCATCATCATCATCATCATCATCATCATCATCATCAGCAGCAGCAGCAGCAGCAGCAGCATCATCATCCTTCTTCTCCTCGCCCTTGTTATCCTGCTCCTCCTCCTCCTCCTCCTCATACTCCTCCTGCTCCTCCTCCTCCTCCTCCTTCTCCTCCTCCTCCTTCTCCTCCTCCTTCTTCTGATCATCCTTATCCTCTTCAGACTGCAGCTCCTTCTCCTGCTCGCAGCGCCTGCGCCGCGAGCCCCCACCCCACCCCTCCCTCCCACCCGCGCGCGCCGGCCTGGGTGACGGCGCCGCCGAAGCCGATCATGGCCAGGCGTCCGTTCTTCAGCTCGGCCAGGCGCAGGCGCTTCTGTCCCTCCTCGTCCTTGGGAAGGAACTGGATGCCGAAGTTGTAGTCGCCCGCGCACTCCACGGAGTTCCACTCGAAGACCTTCTTGGCGCAGCAAAGCTCCACGACCGAGATAAAAATGAGGATCTGGACGTTAACGCCCACGCTGCCGTTCAGGCGGTCGTGGGCGTCCAGCACGCAGGGCACGGCCTCAAAGGAGTAGCGCTCGCCAGGGATGCGCACGAAGTCTGGCGCGACCAGGCCCAGCCACGCGAGCATGCAGATGCGGCCGTGCTTCAGCTCCGCCTCGCGGAACCAGGGGACGAACTCCGTGTACCTGCTGAACCCGGCCGGGTCGAACTCGTAGCGGCCCCACGCGCCCTCCGCGCCCACCAGGCCCTGGGCGAACTGGCCATTGTCGAGCAGGTCGATGCCGGAGTCCTTGTGGGGGAAAAAAAAAATGAGCCATACCGCGACTCCGAGTCCAGCCGCGGTGACGAGGGAGGGGCAGCGACATCGGTACCCCTTCCCCCTGTATGACCCTCGTCACTGACCTGACCTGAACATCTTTCGCGAACATTGCTCCCGAACCGTGTACGAGCCGTTCGGTTTGAACACCTCTGTTCCCCTCAACCAAGTGGCCGTGGACAAGGCCGTTGGGGGCCCTGCAGTTCGCGAGCAGATGGTTCTGAACGGTTGACGAACTGTTTGCGAACATCCGAACACGACACATAGGACCTTAGCTGCCCCGATGAGCAACACGCAACACGTAGCGTATTGATACGGAGCTCAATACGTAGACTGAAGACGTAGGTCTGACGCGATACGTTCGCCAAAACGTGGGCCAATGCGTTGAGCCAACACGCAGCGCAATCGACACGGACGCTCTGAGCACGGCACGCGCTGCGCATCCAAACGGGCGCACCGAGGCAGCTAAGCAGAGGACACGCCCGGGGAGTCCTCGTACGCCACGGCGAGGTCGCGCCGCACGGCGTGCGAGGCAACCCGCGCCTTCGCCGAGGCGCCGCGGCGCAGGCCGGCGCCCGCCACCGCCGCGCCCGCCGCGGCGAGCGCCGCCACGCCGGCCGCGGCGGCGGCGCCCGCGAGCCCCGCGGCGCGCGGCTCCGCGGGCGCGCCGCCAGGGCCGCCGCGCAGCGCGCGGAGGGCCGGCTGGGCGGCAGCGGCGCCCGCGCCGGGCAGGAACGCGGCCGAGGCTCGCAGGGCCGCGGCCGCGGCCGCGGCGGCCAGAGCCGCGCAGAGGAGACGGCCCACCATGTGCTGGACGGCGCCAGCCGTGCACGGCGAGGGCCTGCCCGGAGAGCCGGGCGCCACAGGCCCGTGTTCGTGCGGCTCGCGCCCGGCGTGCTCGCCCGGCGCCTCGGGCCCCACAGGGCAGCAGAGATCGAGCCGGCTCGAGAGGTGCTGCAGGAAGATGGGGCCCGAGGCTCCGGTCGTGACGAGGCTGCATCTTTTTGTGACGTCGGGTTCTGGGGCTTGGGCAGGGGATCGTAAGGAAACGGACCCAGGGCCTGGAGGCCTGCGGGAATCCAATCGCGGAGTGGCCATCCATGTCCCCGCCGGCCTCCTTAGATCAGCCATCCTCCAGGGGTCTGAAGCCTCCCGCGCACATTCCTTACCGACCGCCCCCACCTGGCAGACCAGCTCGGTGCGCGCCGCCGCTCGTGCCAGCACTCGCGGAAGCGTGCATCGAGCGGGTCTGGTGCACCGCTGGCGTCGTCCAGGTGTTCCCTGGGAGGCTGCGCTGCCGCAACGGCGGGGCGTGGTGCACGGAGGAGTCTGGGGAGCCCGCGCGGCCTTGAGCCACGAGGTGGGAGCCCAGAGGTCCGTCGTCGTGAGGCAGGTCGCCGCGCCGTGGTCGTCACAGTTTCCTGGGGCACCCCTCCGCCCGAATCGGCCCGTGAGGGCCCTCGGGCCCGAGACTGGGCGAGTGAGGCCCGTGGTGGCTTGCTTACAGAAGGATGCGGCGTCTGGGCGCGATGCCGCATCCCCCACCTGGCCGCAAATTGCCCAAGCAGCTGGAATATACCTGCTCGGGAGTCTCGCTGGACTCGGAGCCTAGATCTTGGGGCCAACACAGCGGCCAAAGGGAAGTTGTAGCTCTTCGTCCAACATGTCGGTAACCTGCAGGTGGCTCATCGTCGCGGATTCACTCGTCCTGCCTTACGTATCTCTTCGAGCCACTTCCCTTGGCTTCTGTGAACCCCGATGGTTCCCCTGTAGGAGATTGTTACTTTGCGCGCGGCACCAACAATGCCCGAGCGCGCGCAAAGTAGGAGCACGAAGGCTCCAGTATGAGGGCAAGTGGAAGCTCGATGCAGATCCTGCAGTACAGGATCATAGCCGCGCGCCCTGGCGCTATTAGGCCGCACGTCGCACCTGTGAGCCCGACGTTGGTCCACCGCGGCCATCCAGGAAGGCTTAGGTCGGGCATGCTCTCCTACAGGCGACTATTCGAAGAAGAACAAAAAAAAGTCAAATAAAAACAATCGAAAAATCGTCGCTGGGCTATTTTTTGACTATTTTTGAATATTCCTCCTGACGGGCACGCCCGATTTAAAGGAATGCCTTTCAGGCTAGGGTCCCCATTTTGGACAGGATGGTGAAAAGATCACTTCCCTGCAGCCCCTACACTGTCCTCACAGCGACCGCGCACTCTCCGAACTTGCCACTGGGCGGTTTTGCCTTTAGCATCATGCATCCCTTGCGTGCCGAGTTGGAGGGGATTGTTGCGCAGTGCTGGTCACCTTGTGGGCTGTCCAGGATAAGTCCTGACGAGACTGCTGCATGCATAGCCTACTCGCGAGCCGGGAAGAGCGCTGAGCGCAGCGAAGCGTTTGTCCGAGCCGCCCGCGGGGCTCTCGCAGCTGGGACCTCCACGCGCCAGCACTCCAGAGCAAGCCTACCCACTGAAATGCTCCCTCCTTGACCCCATCGCCAGACTCCGCATCCGCATCCCGCCCCCCTGACCCGTCGCCTAATCGCCATCATCCTTCTACTCCTCCTCCTTCCCCTCCTCGTCCTTCCACCCCCCTGTTCCCCCCCCCGTCATTATCCTGTCCTTCTGCCCGTTGTTATCCCTATCCTGGTCCTCCCTCTCATGCGCCTCCTCCTGCATCCTCCTCATCGTGCTCATCCTTCTCACGCTCCGCCTCCTCCGACTCCTCCTCCCCATGCCGTTCCCGTTCTTTCTCTCTCTACCAAAATCTTGTACACCTGATCCTCCTCATCCGAATCCCTCTCGTCCTCCAACTCCTTATTCACATCCTCTTCATTATCCTCGTCCCCCTCCTCCAAAACATCATCCAAGCCATATTACTGAATGTCAGATGTTTACACATGCGTAAGTGCATGTGCGTACGCATGTGCATGTAAAGTTGCATATGTGATTGCTTACGGTGTGAACATGCATACGTGCGTGAATACGTAAATGTATACGGATATAGCGATGCCCCTCCTGCTGGGACAAGATCCTCTACTCCAAAAGGCCACTGACTTATTCTGGGCCCACCACTGCTCTGCAAACTGTATTGTGGAGGGGCTGGCCGCAATTGTGGCTGCCCGCCCTAGTCTAAGGACTGTGGGGTGGGAAAGCTTGGAGCCAGAGCCCACGCGCACCAAGGAATCGCTGCATCCAGCGATGCCCCTCCTCCTGGAAAAAGATCCTCTACTCCACAAGGCCGCTGACTTTTTCGGAGCTCACCGCTGCCTCTGCAAACTATATTATGGAGAGGGGCCGGCCGCAATTGGGGCCAGCCACCCTGGCCACAACCGCTCAAGGTGGAACAAGAGGAGGGGGCGGGACGAGAGACGAGGGAACCGATGAGCTCTGCTGGCAGCGGCGGCGGGCAGCGAGCGCGGGGACCGGAGGGGCGGGGTCCGCCAGCTCTCGGCCTCGGCAAACGATCCGAAAACAGGAGCTGCAGGGGGGCCTCATGGAGGAGGTGGCGCCAAAGTCTTGTGTATCTAAATATGTAAGTATTCACATATAGATATATATTTATATATACATATACATAGACATATACCATATACATATACATATACATATACATATACATATACATATACATATACATATACCTATACATATACATATACATATACATACACATATACTTATACATATACATATACATATACATATACATATACATAGATATAAACATATACATATACATATACATATACATATACATGTACATATACATATACATAGACATACATGCATACATGCATACATGCATACATACATACATACATTTATATAGACACACATGCATGCATGCATGCATGCATACATACATACACACGTACATACATACATACATACATACATACATACATACATACATACGTACATACATACATGCATGCATGCATGCATGCATGCATACATACATACATACTTGCATGCGTATATACATACATACATGCATGCATACATACAGACAGACAGACATACATGCATGCATGTATGTATGCATACATACAAGCATACATACATGCGTACATACATACATGCGTACATGCCTAAATGCATGCATACCGTGCATACATACAAGCATACATACATACATATCTACATGCCTACCTACCTACCTACCCACATACAAACATACATACATACATACATACATACATACATCGACATACATGCATGCATGCATGCATGCATGTATACATACATACATACATATATACAAACATACATAAATACATACATATATACATACATATATACATATATGCATACATACATGCATACATACATATATACATACATTGGCACACATGCATACATACATACATACATACATACATACATACATACATACATACATGTATGCATGCATGTATGCATGCATGCATGCATGCATGCATGCATACATACATAACATACATAATCATCATCATTACGAGAGAGCGTGATCACCGCCGCCTTTTACTGTGGAAATTGCCAACCTTTTTCCTCCGGAACCCGGGGGGGTCGCCCCCCCACCACCCCCCCCTCCGAAAAATCCCCCCCCCACCCCACCCCACCTTTGCTGTGAACCCCCCCTCCCCCCCCCCCCCTCCATCCCCGGCAAACCCCCACCCCCTCACGGTTCCCATCATCCACTAGAAAAATTATAAACACCTCAGAAAAAAACACAAACCCCTCCCCCCCCCCCCCCCCGTCCCCGGAAAACCGGGGGGGGGGGGTTTTCACTACCCGTTCGAAACCCCCACCCCCTCGAAAACCGGGGGGGGCTTCGGGGTCACTTACCGCGTTCGACCCCCCCGCCCCCCCCCCCCCCCCCCCCCCCCTCGAAAACCGGAGGGGGTGGTCACTACCGGTTCGAACCTCTCCCCACCCCCCCACTCACCGCCAGCAAACGACTCCCGGTCCCTACCACCGTCCGCGCCACATCCCCCACTGTTGTTCCCAGCACCACTGTCCTCACCACCACTGCCCCCACTGGTTCCACCACCGTCCATACTGTCCCCACCAGTGTTCCCACCACTGTCGCACTGTCCCCACTGTCCCCACCACTGTTCCCACCACGGTTCCACCCACTGTCTCCACGGGCCCCACCACTGCCGACCATCCCACTGTCCACACTGTCCCAGACTCCTCCGCTCGTCCCACTGAGCTGTCCCACTGTTCCCACCACTGTCCCCAATGTCCCCACCACTGTCCCCACTGTACCTCTGTCCCATTGTCCCACCGCCGTCCTCGCCACCGCCTTCACCACTGTCCCCACCACCATTGTACCCTCCACTGTCCCACCCTCCTCCTCATTCCCACTGTCCCCACACCACTGTCCCCACCACCACCGTCCCAACCACTGTCCACTGTCCCCACTGTTCCCACCATTGTCCCCACCACTGTCCCCACCACTACCGTCCCCACCACTGTCCCACTGTCCCACTGTCCCCACCACTGTCCCGCTGTCCCCTCACCACTGTCCCCACAACCACCGTCCCCACCACTGTCCACAACCCCACTCGGTTTTCGAGGGGGGGGGTGTTCGAACCGGTAGTGACCCCCCCCCGGTTTTCGAGGGGGGGGGGTTCGAACCGGTAGTGACCCCCCCCCTTTTTCATGATGAACTGGGGGGGGGGGGGTGGAGGGGTTCGAACCGGTAGTGACCCCCCCCCGTTTTCCGGAGGGGGGGGAAGGGAAGGGAAGGGAAGGGGTTCGAACCGGTAGTGACCCGCCCCGGTTTTCCGCCAGCAGCGGTAGAACACGCTCTTTCACACATACATACATACATACATACATACATACATACATACATACATACATGCATGCATGCATGCATGCATGCATGCATGCATACATACATACATACATGCATGCATGCATGCATGCATGCATGCATGC